CCAGAATACTCGCCTGCCGTGCCTCCAGAATATCCTGTCAATCATCTGTGACTCCACCCCCTCGTCATATGAGTCGCAGGGTCCTAAACTCACCAGCTCGAAATATATATTTTATGGACTGACAAAATATAACAAATATATAAACAATTAAGTACATTAATTATGAATTTAATAAAATACGATTAAATAATTGCATAATTAATTAAATATGTCACGAAATTCAAGTTTTCAAATATTTATCATATTCAAATTACCCTCAATTTTTATTTATCAATTCAAATATTTATCATATTGGTGATAAATAACTTATTTATCACCCTAAATCCTAGTACATCCCTACAACTTTATTTTATTTTATTATATTCCTATTCTATCTATAGCACACCTGTGCATACAATTTATTAATTTTTTGTGGTTTATATTTATGCATGTGTATTTTATTCACATCTTATTTTTATTATCTGTGTGTTGTTGTTGTCTCCGTGTACTGGAAGCTTGTGACACTATAACAAATTCCTTATATGTGCAAACATACTTGGCAATAAAGCTTTTTCTGATTCTGATTCTGATTCTGATTCTAAATATGAACAATAAAGACTGTTACCTCCGTTTGAACCATGTGCAGAAAACATTGCTTCTTTCAATATGCTGATAGAAAGACCACTATTTAAAACATTGATATCACTGCACAACAGGGTTTTTAAGAAAGTCAACACAGTTCAATTTTTCTATACTTAAAAGACTTAGTATTTTAATTTCAACAAAATTTAGCAAAATTAATGCTTACATTTTTTATAAAAATAATGGTGGGTTCATGCAAATTGGCTGATATTACTAATAAAAAGTTCTATCATTTGCTTTATGTTTACTTCATAAGGTGTTTTAAGTATTATAAAGTACACAATCACAGTTCATAAGTAATGTTGCCAAATACTCCAATGTACATTACATCCTGTCCATTACTTTCAGTTGCATACAGTTCCATCCAGGTATTCACTAGGTTTTACAAAACAACATATATACACATAAAAAATTACAAAGTGTGATGATATATATATGACCTCAATGTATACCATTATGACATGACAAGAAGCTCCTATGAAACAGTGAGCTTATAATGACCTGACACAATAACAGTAATTCTATGTAACAATGTTCTGGTCTGATGAACCATATTATCCATACCTAGGCATGTTTACTTTGAGTATAATATATTACTTTCTAATGTTGATACTACTTGAATGTTGTCCTTTAAGTGTGTAAATAATGCAAATACAAATATATGTATTAGATCCAGGAAATAACAGCATCTGATCAATAAATCTACAAATTAACACAATTTCATGACCAAAACCTTTCCATTTTGCAAGGATATGGATATCTCCTCTAACACTTTTTGGAGCAATACACACATTTAACTTTCCAAAAGTACTGGAAGCATAACTTCAGATTGTGGTCTCCTGGTCTGGGTTTTCGCTGCATTTTACAATAGCTGAAGATACATTCCCATTGCCAGAAGAAACACCATTGTCATCCTGTTCTTGAGCTTTTAACTGGTTCTTTAGTGCAAGCTTCTTTTCGCGATGAGACAGTCTGTTGTACAGGATTCCCCACAACACATAGGATAAGGAATACAGGCCATAAATAAGACCCAAGAAAGCATTTCTGTAGGGCAAAAAAGAAAGACTTTATTTTTTATCAATCTTTATATCTGTGAAAGTTTTTGTATGTAGTTTTGTAGACTTTATGACTACAAACTGTCAACATGGCGGTAATGAAATCTTTTCTAGAACAAAGGGTTAAAAATGTTGTAGAATTGCAGAAATTTCCATTTTTGAGCTGATGGTGGCGCTAGTGGGTGCCTGAGGATTATAATTCGGAGGATTATTCTGGTCATTCAAAACAGTTTCACAACAACAAACACACTAGGGTGTCATACACCTTTGGTGTTTTGCAAATTTATGACCAAAATGCCATAAGGAAACATACATGTAATCAGAAATAGACTTCAGATAACCTTTGCTATCATGTGCCTGTCCAATATTTTTCATCAAACACTAAGAAATAAGATAAAGCTATTCACTAATTGTATTGTAATTGCTAGCTGCAAACAGTTCATATTCATGGCTAGTTACCATGAATGTGAATGTTTTCAGAAGGATCAAGCATGACAACAGTGGTTGTCACTGTAGCATTTTGCCAAATTAAATTTAAGGACATGTAATTTTTTCCAATGTTACAATACATAAATATTGTGGCTCTGTGGTTTTATACAGACACTACTCTTTGTTTTAGTTTTTTTGTGGACCATCTAGCCAATGATTGGAAAAGTGTGTATGAAAATGCTGAATTTCTGCCAGTCTAAGTTAACTAACCTGAAGGCACCAGAATCATAGATACGACACGCTCCTCTCCCTCCACATTGTTTTGTGCCCCATTTCAGACAGGTCCTGTCAATCAAGGCTCCGAAATAAATAGGAGGGGGAATGCCACCTAGAAAAGTTTCTCAGATCAGCTAAAGATACTTTTTTTTATCTGTTGTTTAATAATCTTGTGTTGAGAATGAAAGAAATCTTCTTACCCAGTGTCCGAACAATCAAAATATAAATACCAAGAGCCAAAGACTTTAGTTCTGGATTTATGGTTCTAAGAAAAAAACAGTCATGAGGAAATGTATTCATTTGTAAACCAAATATTAAATTGTTTTTTT